CTGCTAATTTATCAATTTTTTTTTTTGTTTTTACTTACGTCCGTTTCTTTTTCTTTGTTTTTTTGCCCGTCAACCCGAATTTTGTACCTGTTTGTTGTCTTACAGGCTGGCGGGACAGGGACTGAGGAGTATTTTATGGCAACGCGTATACAAATAAGGAGGAAACGAGAGAGAAGTATATAACACCAATGTCAAGAACACTTGGATAAGACGCGAGGAGAACATAATATCTTTTCACCTATTCATGGGGAATTGCCAATGTTGGCAGGTATGTGTTCTTTTTTTTTTTTCTCTCGTATTTTCTCCATGCGCACGAGTTACGATGGTCTTTTTTTTTGTCATTTTTCTTGCAAAAAACACGTTTTGATGTCAAAGGGAAATTCCTTTTATGCCGCTTTTTTCGTTTATGAATTGATTGTGTCTTGTTTGTTTGTTGCTTTTTTTTGTTTCGCTTTCTTTTTGGGTGTTCTCCGCTTGTGCCGTTATGCGTTACGTCTATTACTGTTACAGCGACCGCTATTGTTGTTCTCGTTCATTTGTGGTTGCTGTGATTTGTTTTGTTTTTGTTTTCGTCTTTGTGTCAAGAACACTACCACCCTTTTGATGCTGCTCGATGGGGATACGATGGGTGGTGGTGGTGGTGGTGGATTACAAGGAGGAGGAGGGAAGGGAGAAGCGGGAAGGGAGAAGACAATGCAATTTGGTGTAAGGGAAAGAGACGGGAAGAAAGCGAAGAAACCAGTGGAACAGACGTCTGAAAAAAGACGGATAGAAGTACGGCATGGGGAGAGGGAGACAGGCGTGTAGCGTGACTGTGGAAGGTGATTGCGGGAAGACGCCACCACCACCGTTGGTGGAGGAGTGGGGCTTTTCCCTTCAGCCCTTAACGATCACTAATTTTTTTGACTCTTCTCTCTCCTGCACTCAATGCTAATCGACTTGCTTAAACTCTCCATTCATTGCGGTTAGCGAAGAGAGGTGGAAATTTTTACTTTTCTCGTGTGTGTCTCCGTGTGTGTGCGTGTGCGACAATATGACTAATATGGAAGGGCACAACCAAAACGTAGAGAAGAGCAATCAGAGCCATCCAAGTAAATAAATAAGTGGAAGGATGAGGAAGTGAATAAAAAGTCTACTTGTCTGGAGGTGTGTGTGTGTGTGAAGGCGAGGAGGTGGGAAAGTGTGTGACTTGTTAATGGACAGGAGATGGGTGGAGCCAACGACGCATTACACTGTTTTGATGGATCTTGATGTACGGCAAGTGGCGTCTATGCATCACTCCTCTCTTTGCTCATATATATATATATATATATGACCACTGTTTGTATTGTTCAATGGTTATGGGTGGGAAAACGATATATGCTTCTTTTGGGCGTAGTGATGACAGTTCAAATGCTTGCTTTTTGTAGTCTCCATTGGACTTGCCTGTTCATTTTTGATGGTCACAGGTCACGCACCATACTTTCATTTTCGGGGAACAACCAAATGAAGAAAGAAGGAAAAATCCTGTGCGTCCTTAAGGAGGACGAAGAGCGGAAAATAAAGGGGAAAAAGGGGTGATAATGCGTGCGCTGTGTGTGATTTGGCACTCATCCGACTTTGCAAGTTGGATGCCTACGAAGACGCGAATGCATCAGTAGAATAAATGCAGGGAAACACGATGGATGCATTTTTGTTGATACAATCAACGAGACAAGAAGTAGAGAAAAAAAATGTTTGATCATTTTTGTTCTGTTTATTATCATTGTTTTTTTTTTGTTCCTTTTGTGTTTTACGGTCTTCTTTTGCTCGCCACCCGTGGGGTCTTTTTCTTCCGTGTCGCTTGGAGTTTGTGGGTCCGAACCGGACCATTTTACTTTTGCCCGCGCAACCTCAGTGTACATTTTTGGAGAGTTCCGGAGAACTGTGGGAGGGCCTGAGTCGGTTCACCGGGACGAGAGAAGGAGGGAATGCAGCGAAAGAACAAAGGTGTGTACTGAGCAAAGAGACAGGGTGCGTGAAACTGCAACTAGAAACGGCTCTCGCCTTTTTGTAACCTTTGTTGTTGTTATTTATTCTTCTGTCTTTGAGCTCGTTACTTCCCCTCTGTTGTACCGTTTTACCAACTCGTTTTACACATGTACCGTTGCCGCTGTTGGGAACAGGAGGGGAGGGTTTGGCCCCACGTATGTGTATACGCGTCTGATCCTTATGGGGCCGCAGTGCGCGCGAGCACCTTGACGTACCGGTAGACGTTCGGAGTATCGTTGCATATTTTTTGTTTGTGTTTGTGGTAATGATTGTTTCAAGCAGGGCCTCCAGAAGTGTAATGTACACGCGTACGTGCGACACATGACGCAGAGCAGCGTAATCATTCCATTGCGCTGGCGCTATGAGTGTGATCTTCTGCTCTTTTCATGGCTGTCAATGTTTTCCTTCTTTTACTGGTTGGTCGGTCTTTCAGTTCACAGTCTTTTTTGGTTTGCAGTGTGTAAAAGAAGGCCTGCTTGTGTCGTAGTAGTAGTAGTTTTTTCCTTGTTGCTGCCGTTACTTTCTTCAAGTCCCTTACTTTTCGTTTTGTTTTTGTCCCTGCCTTGTTTGTTTTTCCGTTTGTTTTATACGCAGTTTTTTTGAGTTTTTCACTATACAGGCTTGCTGCGCGTGTCCCTCTGCACGTCATTCCGTCTCCTCTGTGATGGTCCAGATTGCCTCCACCTTACTGTCCCAACTCTCTCTTTCCTGTTGCAGGTCGTAGGGAATTAGCACACTGACTTCGCTCATTAGTGTTTATTATTTTGACTTTTTTTTTTTGGAATTTAATTTATTAGGTTTTCCAAGAAGGTGCCATTAAGTTTTCCAATAAACAGCGTTGATCACACGTGGCTCTCGCAACTGTGGTAACAGGACCGGCAAAGGCAACGTTTTTGTCACTCCATTCTGCCTGCGTGACGCGAAAGCTGGTGATAGAGGCTAGGGAGCTGGTGAAGTAGCGGTCATGTTGTCTTGCGTCACCACCCCAATGGACCTAACACCACGGCCGCCTGAGTTACCTTCAATGGGCGCTGATGTGACGAGTCGGAGTCAAACTTCTCTCCTCTCTGCAACCCGGGTGTATGTGCGTATTCGCCCCTTCAATCAGCGTGAGCTACAGGAGAGCAGGGAGCCTCCGACGAGTACGGTGACGGTTGCTCCTCAAAAAAATATAGTCACAGTTTTGGATCCATCCAGTAATTACAGACCTCAGCTTACGTACGCCTTTGAACGCTGCTTTGACTCCACAGCAGCGATGGAGGACAACGACCAGGAGAGCGTGTATCAACACGTGGGTCGTTTTGTGCTACATAATGTAATTGACGGGTATAATGGCTGCATCTTTGCCTACGGTCAAACAGGGAGCGGTAAGACGTATACCATGCTCGGGCCATCAGGCCTGGCTACACTGGGGGCTCAGCAAGACGGGAGGCGACCTTTCTCTTGGGCGTCGACACCACGAGGGGCCAGAAATAGATGCACCCCCTGCACAACCCCGTCAACACTTGATAAGTCAGTGGCACCTTCTGAGACGCTAAGTGGCACTGACAGTATGATCATCGCGGATGATAACTCTCAATGTATGGAGGGTCTTATCCCTCGTCTGGCACGTGATATTTTTCAGTCACTGCGTCTCAAGCATAAAAATAATAGTTCCCACTCCTTTCTTGTTGAAATTGAGTACTATGAAATCTATAATGAAAAAGTCTTTGACCTGTTGGCTGGAGAATCCACCGGTGATAAAAGTGAACTGCAGCTGCGGCATCAACCAACATGCGGCGCTTATGTGAAGGGGCTCGTTCGGAAAAAAGTGGTGGAGGAAAAAGAACTTCGGAAATGGATTCGACGGGGAAGTGTGGGACGTCACACGGCCTCCACAAAGGTGAATGAGCGCAGTAGTCGTAGTCACGCCATATTTTGTATTTACGTTGTGCAGTTAACGTTGGACGAGAATGACAACAACAGCTGTGTCACCAGTAAGTTGAACCTTGTTGACCTCGCCGGCTCCGAGCGCACAGGTGCCAGTGGGGTGGAGGGAAAACTGTTCAAGGAGGCAACTAAGATCAACCTTTCCCTTACTGTCCTCGGACGCGTCATTGATGCACTTGCGGACCTTTCCACTGGGAAACGCGGCGTTTTTTGTCCCTACCGCGACTCCAACCTCACATGGCTTCTGATGGACTCTCTTGGAGGAAATAGTAAAACATCCATGGTGGCCACCGTCTCACCGAATTCCGCGCATTACGAGGAGACCTGCCAAACGCTGCGCTACGCTGCCCGTGCGAAACAAATTGTTAACAGAGCCATAATTAATGAGGACCCACAAGTGCGTCAGATAAAAGCACTGACTGCCGAAGTAGCGCGACTTCAGCGTCTTTTATGTGAGCGGCCACGACTTGAACACAGCAATGATGATGTGGAGCGGCTTCAAGATAGACTCCTGCAGTTAGAGCAGGACGTTTCAGACCGCGACTTTACAATTGATGAGCTTCGGTCTCAGTTGCTGGAGAAGAATGTTGCTGAGCTAAAAAAGCTCGATGATGAAAACAGACGGCTGCAACGCGAGGTGAAGGAATTGAGGCGCACCAATGTGACCGTGCAGCGGCTACAGAGTGAGTTAACTGCGGCTACTAAAGAAAATGAGCAGCTTCGCGCACAGCTGGAAGTGTTGGAGAAGGAGAAAAAGGAACTGGCAACGTGCCGTTTGATTATTCCTCACGGAGACTCACCGCTGGAAGCCACGGCGGGATTTGCCACAGGCAGCACACAGCTTCACCTTGGGCACATTACCTTGCAAAACATAAAACGTCTTGGAATTACCACTGAAAGATGCAATTACGCGCGCCTGATGGATACCGTGACACGCTGCGCCCTGCAAGCAACAGAGCAGTACGAGGCCATGCTGCAGAAAAACACTGCGTTGATTGATTCCCATAGCTGGGCATTGCGGGAGAGCCTGCAACGGCTAGAGAGCAAGGAGTGGGCGGTGCTTGTTGCCACGGGAGAAAAGCTTGTAGCATCGTTTGAAAGGAAAAGTGCAAAACGCGAGAAGGAAATTGAGATGCAAGAGAGAAAACAAATGGAGCTCTCGACGTCATCATTTCCAACAAAGCAAAAACACGAAAAGTCAGCGGTGCACTACAAGGATGAAGCGCAACAGGCTCAGAAGGAACTCGCAAATATAGTCTGCACACGTAACAGAGATTAAGGAGCAACTCCGCATCGAGAAAAAACGCAAAACACAGTTAGAGGAATACACAGAGCAGTTTCAACAACAACTAAAGCAACACCTCATAGAACGAGACGGGCTAAAGAAGAAATGCGAGCAAAAGAAAAACGAGACAGAACAGCTTCGAAATTGTGAGAGAGAATTGAAGACAAAACTTTTAGCCACTGAAGCAATGCTGCAGCAGTCAGAGAATAATTTTGGGCTTTTGCAGCGGAACCATCTGGAGACGTTTGGTGCCTTGGCTGTGCTCATGGCAGAGGAGCTGGAGGGGTGTCGTTGCCTGTTTGCCGACGAAGCGAGTGAGCGTCACAGCCTTCTTGACGATTACTATGCTTCACTGCTGAGTCGTGAGCGTCGTGTTGCGGAGGGGGAAATTAACGCACTGCGAGGGGAGTACGACGCCTGCAAGGCACAAGCAGACGCTCGTGCCCGTTCGCAGCAGGAAGAGATGAATTTTTTGCGGCTTGAGCATTCGAAGCAGGAACGGGATTTTGAAGAATTTACTGCCCACATGGCATTTGCCTTTGGCTCCCAATCTGCTGTGTGGCTGGACTCCTTTCGCGAAAAGTTGCAGCTGCTGATGGACTTTTCCGAGCGTTACGCCACCACGCTTCACTACGAGCC